TCCAGAACTTTCTCAGGACCCTGAGAACCTAGTAATTCCCCAGTTAGCTAGAGCAGGGTTACTCAGAGTGAGGTCCAAGAGTTGATAACTGATCTCTGACCCAATGAGTATTGCAAGGTAGAGTAAAGGTTAGAAACTTGTAGGGCAATTTGTCATTATCGTACATCCAAGTATGTGATCATATTTCTAGTCATTTGGTTTTATTTTATCTAGAAGTCTCAGAAACAATGGATTAGAGATTTTAAAAGAAAGAACTAAACCTGGCCGTTGGTCACAGTTTGAGGAGCGCCAAGCTAGCAGAAGCTAGCCAGTTCTACTCTCACCTCCATGGAGTAGGGCTATCTCATTGTCAGAAAGTAGAGGAATGATCACCCCAGATCCCCAGGACAAGAATCACCTTCATACTGGTCTTTGGGGTGGGCTTCTCGTCTCTTGAGACACATTCTCCATCATCCAGTTTCCTGTGGCCTCTTAAGGAGGTCCCGGTTCATCCCTTAGTGATTCGGGAATTATTTCCATCAGGCTGGGAGGGGCAGGGAGACACATGATGACGATTTCCTTATAGGAGCTTTCGTTGCATTTTTTTACAAAAGAAAGTCACCCTCTCAGGTTGGATGTATGGATTCCGCTGGGAGAAAGGAGCCTGCTGGCCCACAGTGAAAGGCAAGACTGGATGAGGTCTCCTGGAGTCCCGGGCCTGGTTACGTGGACTGTCTCCCATGCCGGTAGCACAAATAAGCAGGCTGTGACCGCACAGACATGTTTGGGCAACACCTCCCAGCAACCCCTCAGCCCTCTGCACGCTTCAGTGATCGCTCTGCAAGTCAGGATTGCTCGGAAGCCCAGGGCACAGCGTGCTTATTAGCTAAGTGGTTAATAAGGTCTCATTAGAGACTTGTATTTAAAGCCCTAGGAAGTATAGTCTCGTCTCTGCTAACTCAGGGGAGGCAATAATTGTGCGTGGGTATATGGCATCACCCTGGTGCCTCTCTGGGAGAGTCCCCTGGAGCCAGTTCACACACTGGGCCAGTGGAGAGAGCTGCACCAGGGCTGGGTGAATGTGACCCCCCTGCCTTTCCTCCTCTTTATTAGGATATAGATCCAGGAAGTCATTTATTCTGCAGTCTTTTGGGATCCCCCGTGGGGGGTGGAACATGGGCAGACAATGGCTTATCATCCTGAGCTGATGCACCTGAACCTTCCTTAGAAGCAAGAGCCAAATTCCTTGGCAACCGTAGCCTCCTGAAACTGGCAGAGTGCTTGGAAGCAGAATCCTAATCTCTGCCAAGCTGGGCCAGCAGGGGACAGGGGCTAGGCGTGGCAGGGAGAGTCTGGCCTGCAGCTGCTGCTCTGGAGAAGTGGCAGGCGGTCTAAGTCTGCCGAGGTCCCATCTGTGTCTCAGAGATCTGACAGCCCCACCAGGTCTATAGCCACTTTCCCCATAAATGCCCAGGAGACATGCACGTGTCCTGGAGTGACTATTCCAAAGTTGCTTTTAGGGCCGGAGCTTCTCTAGTGAGAGAAAGAGCAACAGTCTTTTGGACCTTGTCATGACCACCAGCCTGCTGGGCCTCCCTTTCCCTGTTCGTCCCTCATTAGTGTCCAGGCGAGTTAGCCTTGGGTCCCCAGGGTGGGTGCTGTCACTGGGAGCTGGGGAGCTGTGGGCACCTCCTGCCCTTTGTGTCACTGCTCTCGGAACTTCCTGCTTACATTTGAGGTATTCTGTGGGATTGGCTGTGGACTCCCAAGACCTCTCTTGAATTTAGCTGGAGGGCCTTATTTCACCCACATACACGTCTCTGTCACTTGATGTCACGATGGCTACCTGCCTCTGCCTGGAGGCCCTGGGACCTAGACGGCTGCTGTCACTGTCCATATCTCCTAGAAGTTGGATCTCGAGGCTGGTAGGGCCTGGAACCTCCCTGTTTCCAGAGTTTTGGGGTCAGAAACGTTTCCTAGATCTCATACAAATGTTCCCTGACCTTCAATGAGGTCACATCCTGATAAACCTGTTGCAGGTTGAGAAGTTCTGTGTGGAAAAGCACTCCGTACACTTAACCTACAGAAGGTTCCAGCTTAGGCTAGTCTACCTTAAACTCAGAACATATTAGCTCACAGCTGGGCAAAGTTAATCCAACACAAAGCTTATTTTGTAATACAGTGGTGAATATCTCATGTAACTTCTTAAGCATGATACTCAAAGTGACAAACAGAACTGTATTTCAGAAAATATTTCTTCTGAATATCCATTGCTTTTGCACTGTCGTGAAGTTGAAACCTCGTTAAGTTGTACTGTTGCAAGTTGGGCACCATCGTACTGTGCGTATTTGTTCCTGGTGGGAGGAAACTGCAGCTTCCCCAGGACTGGCTTTCAGAGCAGGTCAGGGTTTGCTGAAGGCTCTGCGTATGTGTGGTTGTGCCGTGCTCTGTTTGAGCTGTGAGCTTCCACCCCTTCTCTAGTTCCATGACACGCTGGTGGGGACCCAGGCAGTTGGAGGTGCCTCAGGAGCACAGGCACTCACCGCCTACCTCAGGTCTTAGCCCAGGGCCCACATGGAACTGCTGCTTCCTCTCTCTGGGCTGACCTGGACTGGCCTGGCCTAGCGTGGCCAGGAACTCCTATGTCCTCCTCTCTGGACTGCCCTTCTGCAGCAGGTCTGGAGCCTGCTGCAAGGGTGCCCAGTTCACTGCCACAGCTGCTCCTGAGGGCAGCACCCACTCCCCTCCAACTTCTGCTCTTGTCAAGAGGATCTCTGGTGCTGCAGGGGGTGGGGTCGAGATTCTCTGTGCTCTCATAGCGGTCACTGCAGAATGTAGTACTTCTCTCTGGTCACCAAAATACATAGGATGGTTTCTCCCCACCAACAAAAGCCGTGTACCGAAGTGTCTTCCCTCAGTTCTGTGAGCCGTCCTAGCAAATTCGTCAAGCCCAAGGAGGAAAACACATTCACCAGCTCATTATAAAGGAGAGAAACGAGGAGAAGGAATAAGTGCTTAAGCCAGGGTGCGTGGGAGGGACGCCAAGTGTAACTCCCCTCAGGCACCGCCAACCGCTCAGCAATCCAGAAGTCCCGTCCTATGGGGCTTCATGACATAGGCACAATTGATGACCTCATTGGCCATTGGTGACCAACTCAGCCCTCCTGCCCTGGCTGGAGTTGGGAGTAGGACTGAAAGTACAAACCTTCTAGTCACAGAGTTGGTTTCCCTGGCAACCAGGTCCATCATGAGGCTACCCAGGAGCCCACTGAGAGTCCTCTCATTACAACTGTAGATGCTTCTATGATCAGGAAATTCCAAGAGATTTAGGAATGCCATGCCAGGAACCAGAGACCAAATATATATTTCTTATCATTGTTTTTAAAATTTTGCCAGAGAATGTCTGTGCTCACCAGAGAAGAAGGGAGAAAGAGAAAGCCACTCCCAATGGGGTGTGGTCATGCTGCAATCCCTTTTCATCCATTTCTCCATCTCCTTGGGATTTGGGGCACACACACAGCATGGTTTTCATTCAGGCCACTCAAGTCAGGATTCCAACCATGGTTGGTCAGCCGTGTGAGATCTGGTTCCTTTAACCACCAGGCCATGGGGCCAACCCACAAATCTTATTCATTATTATATTGCAATATCATAATATTATACCACAATCTTGGCCCGACCCCTGCTAAGTGCCAGGTACTTGGACGCCTGGTCCCATACTCAGTCCTTCTCACACACCCGTGAGGCAGGCACAACTGTCCCCATTTGACTAAATGAGGAAGCTGAGCTCAGGGGGGCCATGCTTTACATCAGCTCTCAGAACTGGTTTGTGGTGGGGCTGGGTGCTCACCCTTCCCCCAAGTCTGTGTGGGCCCGTCTCTCACTACACTGTGGCCCACAGCCCTCTGTGGAAGAGGGGTCTCAGGGGAAGGGCACTGCAGTTGAAATTTTTCTCTGGTTCCTAAATTCTTTCCCTCTTTTTCTTGGCTTCTCTGTGTCACAAGCTTTTGGAAACTATAGTGGCACAGGTGTGTCACAGGCCTTTGGGTTGGTTATTGGGCCTGAGTGACCCATTCACCTTACCCTTGATGGCAGAGGCTGTGAAGGCCAGGGTAGGGCTGGGGGGCTGGAGACCTGAGCAGAGTCCCGAATCCCCTACTTATTTACTATGTGGTCTTGTGTGGATCCCCTCCCCTCTCTGGGATTCACTTACCCCGTCTGCACAACTCAGTGGACTCCTGAAGGCCGTGCCCCTCCCGTCGTAGTTCTTCCAGGAGCCTGGTTCACCAACACCACAGGAGTTTTTGGCTTTATCTTTTAAACCTTTCCCCCCAATTTTTTATTGTGTTAAAAAAAACCACACACAGATTAATCCTTTTATTTCCTTTTTTTAATTCATTTTATTTATTTATTTATTTATTTATTTATTTTATTTTGACCAGAAAGACACAGAGAGAGAGAGACAGGGAACATGAGAAAGCAAGCTACCAGGTTTGAGACTCGAACCGTGGTTGGCCATGTGGGAATCCAGTGCCCCTATTCACCACACCCCCTTTGCATTTTTTGTTACATTAAAAAACACAAAATTTCACCAGGTTAACCATTTTAAGTAAACGTCTTGATGGTATTAAATGTATTCATAGCATTGCCAACCATCACCACCATCCATCTCCAGAACTCTTCTTCTGATAAAACTAGAACTCTACACACTAAGCAATAACTCCTCATCTCCCTCCTCTGGCCCTGGCAACCCCCATTCCACTATCTGCCTCTGGGGGTCTGATGGCTCGAGGAACTTCATGTGAGTGCAATCATGTGGTATCTGTCTCTTTGTGGCCACAAGGTTTTTTCCCTTCTCTCCACCTTCAGCATGCCTGCCGTGGCTCCTGGCTGGTTTCAGCTCTCTTGGACATGGGGTGCATGCAGATGTGGGGTCCTCTCCCACACCCAGCTCTTCATTTTCTGCTGGGTGCTAACTGCTGTGCCTTTGTTTCTGTCTCCTCCATCTCTGTTCTGGTTAGCTGACGGTA